GTCATCATCTTTGTGGGATTTTCGTCGGACTTTAATCGGTGAGTAGGGGGTTTCTTCGTCGGATCTTCATCATCTTCGATGGTTGTTTGTTTGGGGTTTGTTTGTTAGAAGGTGTGTTGAGTTTATAAAGGTTTAAGTTACAGATGAAAGAATCAAATGGCCTCGTCATTCACCAAAAAAGCAAAAACAAGTTAAACTTGTTTGCTTTTTATCTGATTTGGCCACACGGCCCACACCACACCATTAAAATAAGTATGGGAGTTACTGTGAATCCTAACCAAGTTGAAGAATCATCATCGGCCATGGCAGACATATTCTTCGTCGGATCTTAAAAAAAAATGAATTAAAAGCTGGCAGACAATCAGACGCGCAGTTGCTGCCCATAATTTTTTTTTTTTTTAAAATTGAATTAAAAAAAAAAAAAAAACAGAATTATTTGGAGTTGGCTCACGAGCCGGCTCGAAATATGTTAAAACTATTATCGAGCCGAGCCAAGTCATATAATTTATGGCTCGGCTCGGCTCGTATTCGACTCGTTTAGTCTTTCTCTTTCACGAGCAGAGCTCGTTAAGCCTAAAACTCGGCTCGGCTCGATAACACCCCTAGGTGGGAAAGAGTCGTTTACTCTTTAATTAAAGGGTAGACCTGGTAATAGTTAGTTAGGACTTAGGTTCGTCATTACGTTTTGATTAGGGGCCAAAAACGAAGAGAATGTGTAAGGTTTGTTTGGTAACAAAGGTTTAGGTTCGAAGATTGAGAGCTTTAAGTTGTGATGGATGGGAACGGCATGGACAAGCTACAGCTTAGGTTTTGGAGATGGAGATGGGAATGGAGCCCAAGGCCCACGGGTCCTTCTTAAAATTACGGTGGGAATAGGGCGTCCTACATATAAATTTTTGGGCCCCTCTTTATTTCATTGACTACATCTAACCTGCCAATTTTATTGGCAGACGGGCCAGGACCCTTCATTACTTGCGGCCTTGTATGTCTTTCTCTTTCTCAATGGAAACTGGCCCAATTTTTTCAACTACTCCTGGAGCAACCATCTCCCCATATTCAGAAGCCTTTTTTTTTTTTTAGTTATTGTGGCCTGAAACTTTTCAGACTTCAACATGCTGTAAACATTATTAATTTACTGTGGAAAGATGCCCTGTATTTTCAGCACTGTTTAAATGATTCAGTAATAAATATTTTCATAATATTCAATTCAAGTAATAGCTAAATATATACATGCATATTTTTTTTTCCTAAATTATTAAAAATTGTTAATCCTTGGTTTAAGTTTTAATGTGAAACTTGAAGCATATTCTCCTGGGTTCAAGTTGTTGATGGCTAGAAGTAACCAAGTGGATGTGGTTTTATTTGATATTTAGAAGTAAGTTATCTTATCTGCAGTTGCAATCTCAAAACTGAGATATAAAGAAAGAGCATGCAAATTGCAATTAGGCTGCTTTTTTGAATATTCAAAGTTAAGTCAGCAGTCAGCCGTCATTCAGTGTATAAATATGTTTTCATATATAGGACCACCTTATACATGATAATTGATAAAGTCAGTTATAAATTAAGATTCTAAAGTTTATTTAAGTAAATTAAAGTATTAAACAAAGGCCATGGCTGCTGAGTACGACCTCACACCTGGATTCCAGCCACCATATATTTGTTGTGTATGAGCTGTGAGGTAGGGAGGAAGGCAACCCAATAATTGAAACAAATTGGAAGTAGAGCAATTCCTGCTTTTTCAAGAAAAATATATAAGAGTTAGCATATTAATTAGTGCAGCAGTGCATCATGCCAAAGTTAATTTCAACCTTATATAAATTTATGGCAAAATTATGTAATTGCAACCTTTGGGTATTATTGTTGTGATTCCGGAAAAAGATTTCTGGAAACCCATATAATTTAGTTCATAGTTTTCAACCTAAATCCAGCCTTATCAATATAAACATTTATACATTATGATGGCATTTACTAAAATATAATTATTTTTTTTGTTTTTTGTTTTTTATCATTAGAGTGTTCAGGTCGGTTTGCGTACACCTCAACTGATTCCCTACGACCCTGATACCGTAAACTGAGTAAGAGCTCTTTGCATTTTTTGGCTAATAAATTACACAATCAATTAATTTTTAAATTAAAATCTATACAGTATTAAAAAATATTAAATTGGAAATAAGTCAAAGACGTGAGGAATAAATTCGCCCTACAGTAAAAAACATATATATAATATATCATCTAAACATATTTGTTTCCAAAGGCACTAATATTGATTAAAATTAATGCTAATTAAGATATAAAATAAGTCAAGAATAATCTTCATATTATATGGTTGTTGTTACTCACAAAAGAATCTCTCTATCTTTAATTCCTATATCATAATCACTAAATAAACCAATACTTTCGCAGATGCTAGGTTTGTCTTTGTACATACCCTCCCTCCCACTTCAAATTAATTATTTTAGTAAACTAACCCATTATAAATTTATCCCTCCAGGGACTAATAAGGATAGTTATTAGGATTTTTATCTGATCGGTAATTTCAAGATCTTAAAGAATTAATTGAGATGTGCATAAATTTATGCGAATACCCTGATAGAAAAAAAAAAAAAAAAAGGGGACAACTGAAACTTGAAAACTGAATTGCAAATTTCGATATCGCTTTGTCCATGATATATTGGCATTGAGATTGGGAATATAATAAAACTTTTATATAGTGATACTATATATAGGAATAAACTCTTCATAGTCATAAAAAAATCTAGTCTTAATTTAGGATAGTAATAAATAAGAATAAACTCTACATTGTAATAAATTATAATTTTTCTAATTTTCGCCTTAAAAAAAGTTATCTCCACATAGTAATAATTATTTATATATTACAAAAAATATATATTATGTTACATTAAAGGTTTAAGATGAAATAAAATAATTATCTAAAGTTGTTTGGGATAATGATTTATGCTTTAGAGTTGTTATCACATATTTTAACTTGCGAGTATGTAATAACTCACTAGCATAGACACCTTCTTGTTAAAGCCAACTTTTTGTATTTCCGTACTATCATCCTTAGGATTATTTACTTTTTTTTTTTTCTTTTCTAATTACAACAATAATTTCTTTTTCAGTTAAAGCATACATGATTTGTTGCTCATTTGGATGATCGATGAAGAAATTAATATCCATTTGATTAGTGTAGTGAAGTTGTCGAATCTGATAACTCAATTTCGCAATGACTCTTTTATTCTCTTCATCCACCTTATTTGTAACTTGCAATTCATTGACATCGGGGGTCCTAATTTTATAGTGCTTAAAACCATTGACAATTGTTTGCGACTTCACATCAATTGACCATGCATCAACTATATTTACAGTTTCATCAATGACACTTATCTTTGCTAGTTTCAAGATACGATCTTCTATCTGTTTTAAAAGTAGACAATTGAAGCGCTAAATTGAAATCTTGATACTAATAAAATATGAATTGAAATCTTAATACTATATTACTAAAACATGACATAAAATAAGAAATAAAAACCAACAATGGGTTGGTTAAGTGGTAAAGGCTTGGGGCCAAAACTTTGCTCCCTCTGTAGTTTCAAGTTCGAATCATAAGAACGATTGCTAATATTGTTGGCCACGAACTGCGGGGCTTGTCTTGTTTTGAAAGTCTTGTTTGGGGACAGGAGACTAGTCGAGGTGCACGTAAGCTGGCCCGAACACCACTAGTAATAAAAAAAAAAAAAGAAATCAAAACAATAATTTTAATTTTTGTAACTACAATTCTATTAAATTATAATCTCCTTATAATAATAAAATTAGTTAATCTATCATTACCATTCTATAGAAGTTTTACTGTATATATAATGATTATAGGAAAAAGAAGAAGAAGATGTGATTATATAACAAATATTTGTTTCGAAAAACACAAACAGTTGACAATATTGGCCATAAAATATTGTAAATCGTGGGATTTGTCTTTTGGGTGTTTCATCAACCATCTGGATTGTTATAGGACACATTTTTTTTATTTTTATGATTAAGAGAGCCACGAAGCTGTTATCTTTGATTCATCAACATATATTATGATATTAGCTCTTTTAATTNTGATATCACCAAAATATAAAAACAAAAAAGCATAGCGTGAATGAAGTTGAGACTTGAGATGAGAACCTATTGGTATTATGTGTCCTTAAGGATCGAGCAAAACAAGCATTTCCAACCATTCAAATACTTTTTCATCAGTATCAAAGCTAATAACACTGAAATATGATTTATACGGAATAAAGGTCAAGATTCTGAAGTCTAAATTCATACGTATAGCAAGCAAAGATGTCGGAAACCTAATAAATGAACATTGACTGGCTTCTTTTTTCTTTAAAAAAAAAAGTAAAAAAAAAAAAAAGGCTTCTTGTCATGGTAGCCGTACCTTGATGAGACATCATCTTCAACCATGTCTTCAGAAACTTGTAAAGGGATAGAAGCATCAGGATCCTCTTCATTAAGAAACTCTGCCGGAAAAAAAAGAGAAATACACCACTCATGTTGATGAGGGAATGCCAACAAATTACTTGGAATATGAAAATTGGGATAAGTTTTGGGAAGAGTAGTATTATTGTAATCAAATCTCACAAATAGGGTGAGAAAATAACATTTTATACATGAAAATAAGCTGAGGTGAGATGGCTTGACATAGGAAAAGGGCAAAACAGCATGGATAAAAAAAAAATTCATTCAATTCCACAGAAATTTAAAATGAAAATCAATACTTCCAAAGCTTTTGAATTCACATTATTATGAAGACAAATTTGTCCAAGACAGTTTTGTTAGATGAAAAGAAGAGTACAGTGCCAAAACTGAACATTACAATTTGTCTATTTCTTAAGAAACTAATAGCTGAAGAAGATGACCAAGACAGACCCAACTTTAGTTAGTAAAAGTTATCTGATGAAAAATAGCTGACTTCAAATAGAGTGCCATACTTGGGTTCTTAAAAGACACTAATTTCATATACCTAATGGTCGATTGATGTAATAGTTGACAGAGCTACACAATTGCGAGTCACCTTCAGCATTAGGCTCCTGAAAAACAGCAGAGTTCAGAATCAATAACTGGTAAAACAAGTGATGCTACATCAAAGGAACCAAAGCAAGGTTGACCTGCATCCAAATGAAGAACTTCCGATCATCAGTATTGAACTTCAAAATGTATACCCTTCCTGATGCTTGATTAACCTGAGTTAAAAGAAATAACCATAATGATGAAGATCACAGACAACAATTGAGATATTCTCATCTATAAAAGCAGAACATTTCAAGATGAAGAATGATACCTTCTCAAACACTGCTTCATCAGGAAAAATAATCTGATCCTGTAGCATCTTGCATCAAGGAATACAAAAGAGGTTCTACCAAGGAGCACCAGCAGTAATAGGTACCATAACGACACAAACAATAAGAACAGAAAGTGATATCAAAGGAGTATAATAGGTCTATTTTTAAGCAGACAGCCAATCTTAAATTGCACGTGTGTATCCAGATTGTACAGTCATAACTAAGCAAAATTGGTGCATCATATGTTAAAAAAAGGTAGCCAAAAGATTTAACCATTGTTCCTTCATTGTCCTGTAGCTTCAAAGTTATGTTTTAAAATTTCTGGATAGGCTAATAAATGTGGGTCATACCAAACTATAACCAAGTGCAATATCCTGTCCTTTATTGAATATCATTGGTTGCTTGGTGGAGAATCAAATTTGTCCTCTGCAGATGTTGTATGTCAGCTATGCTACAATGGTTTGGGTTACTTGGAGAGAGAGAATAAAAGGATATTTAACAAAGATAAGCATGAAGACTTAGAGCTGCTAAGGGAAAGAGTTCTTTCTCTTGCTTCTTTTCTTTGAGAGCATCGATTACAAAGAAATTTGAAGGGAATTTTTTATTCTTCATTCAAGAGGATTGGGTAGCTACGTTATCCTCATTTTCATGATTTTACATAAGTTTTTGTAGTAAAGCTGTTAAATTCATGTTTATTTTCTCTTCCATTCAATGGAATTTTGGTTCACCCCTATGCATATTAATTAAAAATATAAAAATAAAAATACAGCTCATCAAGTTGGTTGTTATAACATACCAGCCAAACAGAATTAACCAAAAAAGGAACAGCACTACAAAGACGGAGTCAGAGAGCATAAGAAATACAAAGCTAAGAAAACCCATACATCCAAAACTTCATTATATTCCCAAACTCCTCACCAGCCTAACATGAAAAGGTCCTTAACAGGGACAAAGATCCACTCACACCCACATATGTACTCAGCTTCAAAAGTAGGGCACTATCCACTTCTGTAGCAACAAGGACCACAAAGAAAAGTTCAGCAATTGGCACTTTCCATGAAATGTTTTTCCACATACTAGAGACATTTGATTCAACCATCTAAAAAACAAAATTGTGTAAATCTAATGGCTAACTTTTGTCAACACTTCTCTTATTTCTTATCCTACTATTAGCACTATCTTCTATGCCTTATATATCTCTGGACAGCAACCTTTATAAATTTCATGGCAAACTTACTCAGCTAAAAATAAGACTCTTTTCCCCTTTCTTTCCCCACCTTGGCAATGAAACAGCACCCAATTTCAGCCCTTGAATCTTGGCTATATCTAAGTTGCTTCTAATACCAAAGAGAAGCCACTGCAACAACAAAAATCTAAACTGTTCTATTTAGAAAATTAAGCCAGAACTAAAAGATTGCTGATTTAACAAGTGGAACTGGTTAATCAAAAGCCTGAATGCAAAATCTAAAACTAACATGAAGTAAATACACCTCATGCTTCAAAATTCCGAAAGCATGCCCTTTTAAACATTAACTCGGACCTCTGGCAAACCAAAAGAAAGATTCAAATATGTGGAAACTAGCAATTTTTGTACAAACAACCAAGAAGTTAAGTGAGTGACTGTTAGTCATATACAGCAAAAATACAAAACATTGCAATTTGGATACATCTTCGACAACGTTCTGAGTGCGATCAAGCCACTGAAAATGGATCAATCTCTCATCTCCCTAACAAAAAAATGATCAGGCTCATGTTCAAAAATATTGTGCTGAATATTAGCCCAAAAGACGAATTTCAAAATAAGAAACGTAAGTTCAATATTATTGATGCAGAACATGGACAGAGAGAAGAATTGAAAATTAGAACCACTAAAGATTACTTATAAATGAACTCTTAGATAGAAATATAACCTAGAGAAAGAAATCATGTCAAATTCATCATACCCTTGCTATGCGAACAAGTCCTTTACGTGCGTCAGGGACAACCTTCTTTCCCTCAAATTTCATTTTACCAGCACGAAACTCCAGCAAAACTTCCTGCAAACATATGCTCACAAGATATATAAATAAATAAAATAAAATAAAAAAATTGCAAAAATACTATAGAACCCAGGAGTTAATAAAGAAAAGGAAGAAAGAAATCCAGACACGTATACCCCAAAAATCTTAGTTTTTACAAAGTGCTAGGATTTATAATAAATTCTAACATTAACAACAAACAATACATGACTGCAAACAGTTTTAGAGGAACTTATGCCTCCCAAATATTATCAGCAAACCTTATTTTTCCCAAATATCATCAGCCAAACTTACTTTGAATAATATTTTCTAAGCAAAAGCGAAGAACCCACAGAAAACATAAAGCCACGACCTTAGACTTCTGCAATGTCTTCGGGTTTAACAATTGATAAATCAAAGAAGTAAATTTTAAGATGGAAGTAATTAAAAGAACTTGGGTAACTTGTACAAAGGCATGCAGGTATTCCTCCAAGCAAAATTTCTTTACAAAGTAAATAACAAACAAAGAAAACTAGATGACTAAGCTGAACGAGACCCATATTAAAGATAAATAGTTCTATCCCTTTCTCAACTTATTCTAATCTCAAACAATCAAAAACTTGAAGTTTCATTACAATAAAAGTTTTGTAAAACAATTATGTACGAACAAGATTGAACAAGTGTAAACAAATTTTTCAATTGAAAATGAAAGGATTTTGAGGAAACCTGCATTGCTGGAAAAGCTTCGGTCGACGAAGAGCCCATCACTCAATTTTTGTATTGTGTTTTGTAAATTGAATTGGCTTCAAATTCGAATTAAACCCTAGAGAAAGATTGTCTATTCAATTTCAGCCGAGTTGGTGTAAGCCGCCTATTGTTTAGTTAAGGGAGATTAACAAGGGCACAATTTTTAAGGAATTTTTACTGAGATAACAAAAATTATAAATCTTTCAATTAAGTGACAATAACATTGTAAATTCTTCAGTTAAGAGACAATAAATAGGTACTCAGAGAGTCAGAGTTATATTTAACTTTATACTGTATAAAGAAAAACAGTAATAATATACATTTAAATTATATCTTCTAAAAAAAAAATTAAAGTTACTAAAAAAAGTAAAAAAAAAAAGTTAAACATACAATAAAAATTAAAAATTTTGGAAAAAAAAAAAAAAGAGCCTTCTTTTTAACGCTCTTTTCTTTTTCATTAAGTTTCCTTTTAAGTTTTGAATTTGCTTTTCTTTGGTTTTTCTAACATAACAACTTTTTTGGTCCTTTTTATTTTTTTTAGTTTTTAATTTAAGAACTAAACTTAATTAAAAAAATAGAAAAATAAATTTAATGACATCTAATTCTTTTTATCTTTTTTTCAATTAAACTTATCGTTAAATCACCATATAACGTCCCTTAATTGAAGTATGATTTTTCATCCCCCATTTACTTCAGGCAGGGAAGAAGATTGATTCAAATCCCCAGCCCAACTCCAAATCCCTACCATATTTAAAAATTAAATAAACAAAATATTTTTAAAGCAAAATAAATATTTTTTCATTTCAATATCATTTATAGAAAAAATATTTTATATATTCTACATATTATAGTTAAGGAATAAATATTTTAGGTGTTAAATACGATAATTAAGGTGCAATATATATATTATATTTTGAAGAAATATTTTTTTTTTTTTTTTTTTTAAGATTTGAAGAGTTTTGAAAAGTAAATTAACATCTTTGATATTAATTTGTATTTTTAATTCAAAGATTAATTGAATATTGAATTATTTTTCGATAGATTGCATGCAAAAAAATGTATATTGTAAGAACTAAGATCACTAATGTTTCCTTATATAATCTATATATTCATTAAATGAACTTTTTGCTAGCTAATTGCTAAACAATGCTAATTGCTAATTTACTTCTTTTTTTTTTTTTTTTTTTAAGTATAAGTGACAATATAACACAATAAAGTTTATCTTAAATTAAAAAATATTATAATTTCAAAACAATCAATCATAGAAAATTAATTTAAGGAATTTCGGGATGGACTAGAGCAGGGACAGGAATTGCCTTTTCTTTTCGGGGAATCCCTAGCTTGATCCCTACTTAATAAAAAAGTGGATTGAGTTGAGGATGGGGCTCTCTATTTTTTTTTTTTTTTTTTTTTTCAGAAAGTGATTTTTTTTTTTCGTATGGTGATTGATGGCCACCTCTTTTCCTTCCTACAACTTTAACTCAAGATCCCTTAGTCTTTTAAATTCTTAATCCATCATTCACTTCATCATACCACAAGAGTTGGTTTGGAAGTGATTTTAGCCCTCGCTATTTTTGTCTTTAGCTCCCATCTTTAAGTTTATGTCTGGATATAATTGTAACAAAAAAATTCTTCTTTATTTCGTACTTTTACTTCAAAACTTTAAATTTGCAATTATCAAAATTAAAATTTAAGTCAATAAGAATTATAATAAAGCACGAGAAAAAATCAATCAAACCATTTATCACTAATTTTCTTAATAAGAGTTTCTAATAGTAGTTGTTTTGTTTTAATAGGAATGAAACTAAATTTTTCATTTTTCAAGATGAGATTTAGAGTTAATTGCTTGATTATAAGAGTTTTGAGGTCTGAGTATCACAAAATTCCTCAATAAGAATTTGTGATACCGAGTGTTTTCTTTTTAACTAGAATGAAACAAGATTTTTCTTTTATCAAAATGGATTTAAAAATGATTATTTGATTGTAAGAGTTTAGAGATTTTGATTATGTAAACAAATTAATCCATAATTGTATGATAACAATATTGATTGATTTGGTCTCTTGTTTTATTGTTAATCCTGATTGATTTAAATTTATTTTTAACTTTTTATAATTGTAGAAATATGGAACAAGAAGATGAATATATATTTTTTTATTACAATTATATCCCCACTCAAACTTGAAGATAGGGGTTAAAGACAAATATAGTGGACGCTAAAAGTCACTTCCCTTTTTAGGGATGAATATAAGGATGGTAATCCCTAACCCGCCTCGGCCCACCCTATCTCATTGCCATCCCTAGTCTTAAGTGATTTGTCATCCTTAGGCATTGTTATATCATTCACCAAATCACCACTTCATTTACATTTTAGCATAAGATTACACATCATTTAAATATAGAATTTTAAATATATAAGCATTATTGGTATGATATTGTCACAAAGATCATATGATAATAATAGTTGCAGGCTAGTTTTACAATTCTTTAACTTTTTTGGGGCCTTTTTATGTCACAAAAAATATAGCAAATAACTTATTAAAAAATAATACAGATTTCCAAAGATTACATTAAAAAAAAAAAAAAAATTGTGAAACAACAAAGCTCCGCTTGGTTCATAATTTTTTGTTTTGGAAAAAGTAAAAAAAAAGTTGAATTGAGCGGATATTACGATGTAGGATTTACATATTATAAAATACCCCTTATATTTGTTTTTTTTACAAAATACCTCTTATAATAAAACATTAAAAGTTAATAAAAATACCCCCAACCCATCCTCAAATACGGACAACCGGCCACCACCGTCGGAGGGTGGTCGGAGTCGCCGTATCAGCGCATGACCGGCTGGATCTTGCTGGTCGTGCGCCGATATGGCATTTTCCGGCCAGATCCACGGTGGATCTAGCCATTGACGGCCAGATCTGGCCGTATTTGCTCATTAACGACGCCCAATAAACAGTCGTCGTTGATGGTCAACAACGACCGTTTGTTGGTTGTCGTTATCGACTGGTTATGGCCAAAGATCTGGCCTTTTTCGGCCAGATCCACAGTGGATCTGGCCGGAAAAGGCTAGATCGACGTAATACCAGTCAGATTCAACCGGTAGTGCGCCATCCTACCAGATTCCGACTATTTTTCAGTAGTGGTGGCCGGAATCTGGTAAATGTAGATTGTTGGGGTGTTTTTGTAATTTTTTAAAAAATATTTAGGGGTATTTAATTAAATTAACAAATTTAAGGAGGTTTAAAAAAAGTTGAATAATATTATAAGTTTTTGGGTATTTTATTATTTAACTTTTTTGGGAATACTAAAAGTAGTATTCCCAAAATGCAAAGCCCAAGTATGTAGAGCTGGTGACTTGATGCTAATATTTGATGTTAGATCCAAAGCTTGCCAAATATGCATTCAGTTGGGGTAGACAAGTTCAGGTTTGGGTTGGGTCAAAATCAGGTCCAGCTTATTGGACCCCAAACTGACTTAAGACCCAATGTCAACCCAACCTGTTCGGGTTAGATCAGGTCGGGTCGGTTAATGGTGAGTTGGACTACTTCTTTCGGGCCTAAAATGTTTACTTTTAAAACAGTCAAATGATCCAAATTTAATTTAAAAATGTTGGATTTAAGTTACTAGGCTTCAAAAGAAAAGTTAAAACAACCCAAAAAGTTCATTTACGTTGGGCCCAAAAAATATTAGATTGATTTTATACAGACAGAAATTTTATTTGGTTCCCATAGTTTTAGTTTATTATAGCAATGGACCCTTTGATTTCTCACTAACATAATAGCCCTTAAAACAAGACGATATTAGTTTGAAATACATGGAGGAAGGATAACTTTGACTTTTCATTTATTTATGAAGTTAAAACGATCAATAAATAGGATTGAGGATCTGTAGCGAAGCATTTAAGAGAGCTTTTCACGAGATGTTGCCACGTGTGCAAGTAATTGAAAAGACAAATAAAAGAAGAAAGAAAACCCTATTAAAACTCACTTGATAACCTCATGTCAAATTGAGGCAAGAGTGGCAAGAGAAGTATAAACTGAGATTGCCTAAGAATGCCAAGAGATGGGATGGAGAAGAATAATTTTCTATTCAATGCGTTTTGTACATGTATATACTGTGAATTTATACTGAAATGTAAAAGAAATAAAAGGAAACACAATATGTGTCATAATGTTACAATAATTCAAAATAAGGTAACAGAAATATTGATATTAAAGCTAATATCAATTAATCCATGATTTGATTAATCATCCCATGATTTGCTCCGCATATCACTCCTTGATTTACTCCAACACTCTCCCTCAAACTTGTGGTTTGTATATGTTGTAAACTCCAAGCTTGCGTTGCAAGTGTGAATGTTGTTTGCTACATAACAGTTTTGTGAAACTATATGCTAACGGTTCCATCGTTCGAATGTGCACGGTTTTGACCTCCCTTCCTAAATTTTTTCTCTGATTAAGTGCACTTAATCTCTATATGTGTTGTTCTTTCGTGAAACACTGGATTTGTGGCAATGTTGTTTGCAGTTTTGTTGTCACAATACAAATTGACAGGCCCGTTAACTTGCACCTCTAAGTCCTTTAGGAGCCCAAGAATCTGGACAATCTCACACGTGGTTTTGGCCATGACTCTATATTCGGCTTCTGTTGATGATAAATATACCATTGACTGCTTTTTTGTTTTCTATGAGATAAGTGATCCTCTAAGTTTTAAACAAAAAACCAATAAGTGATTTTCTTGTCATTGGACATGTTCTCCAGTCTAAGTCACAATAAGCTATAAATTCTAAGTTTCTATTCTGAGGTAGAAGAAGTCCTAAGCTAGGACATCCTTTCAAGAATTTGAGGACCTTCATTGCTGCATCTATATGAGATTGTTTTGAAGCATGCATAGATTGACTGAGTATGTGAACAACATCACTTATGTCTGGTCGTGTCATTGTAAGGTAGATGAGATGTCTTACAAGTCTTTGGTAATGTGAAGGATCTTGTAATGGTGGATCTACTTCTAAAGACGATATCCCATTATCATACTCTTGGGTTGTGAGTTTGGTATTTTGTTCGATAGGGACAACACTTGGTTTATAGGTTTATAATCTAGAATTTGATATGAGTTCTAATACATATTTGCATTGATTGAGAGATATACTAGTTGGAGATCTTGCAATTTCAATTCCTAAAAAATATTTTGGCTCTC